ATTGGGGCAAGGCTGGCCAGACCCCACCCATGCACGAATTTGTGCACTGGGCCTCTAGTATGGTACTAAAATAACATAGTAAAAAGCATAAGGAAGTTATTCTTCCTGAAGCACTGAAGGAAGATAAATAGTATATTGATAGAATTTACATAGTATTTAAAAAATAGAATATGCAATACGTGTATATTATAACAATATACAAATTATTCAATTTAACACAATCTAGTTAACTTAAGGACTATTTTTAAAGGACAGCTATTTCAGGTTATATTTATTTTTATTTACTTTATTTTATTTTTATTTAAATTTATTGAGTGACATTGCTTAATAAAAGTATATAGGTTTTAGGTGTACAATTCTATAAAACATCATCTGTATATTGCATTGTATATTTACCACCCAAAGTCAAGTCTCCTTCCATCATAATTTATCCCCCCTGTACCCTTGTCTACCTCCCCCCAGCCCTCTCCCTTCTGGAAATCACCATGCTGTTGTCTGTATCTATGAGTTTTGGTTTTCTTTTGGTGTTTTTTTCTTTGTTTATTTGTTTGTTTGTTGCTTGCTTAATCCCTTCACCTTCAGGTTACATTTGAACTGTGCAACAAAAATTCTTTGTGGAATCTAAATGGAAAATAAACCACATAAAGTCTATACCCAGGGCATTCTTGTGAGTAAAACTATCTTCCATCCATGTGAGAAGCTCTGCATAGACTTTATATAATTTCACCCTAATAATGACCTCCCTCTCCCCACAAATAAAATTCCAACATAAATTAAATATGAAACCCCAAAATACTAAGATTTGTGCAAATACCTTGCCTCTGACTTCTGAAATGGCCTGAGCCAGTATTATTTCTACGATTGGTTTAATCTACCATTTACTCAAAATGCAGCCTTAGAGAGGCTCAGATCAGCCTCTTGAGAACCATTCAATGCATCCTGACCCCTTAAATATTAACAGTGGGTCATCTCTAAGAGGTGAGGTTGCAGGCAGCCCTATTTTCTTTTCCATACATTTTTTAGGTTCCATGGTATTTTTTTAATGAGCACAGAATAAAGTGAACAGAAAAGCAGTAAATTCTTCAAAGATACAAAATTGTAAAACTATGCTGTGAGTCACAAAACGTTCACATTAACATATAAATATTCCAAATAGCATCTACTTTTTAATAAAGATCTAAAGGTGTGCAGGTGGTAAAGGGCTCAAAGCTTCCATGCCCAGATTCCATCTGTTTAGGTGAGTGTTAGGTGAGGCTGCTTGACAGAGAGAGTAGGCAGCTATTGGGGCCTCAAAATAGCATGGAAACCATCCTGGGGAGGGCATGGGACTGGGGAGCAGAGGGTGGGAGAAGGCTTGATTCCATTGAAGGGAGCAGGCAAGAGGGGAGTGAATGAGAGAGGTGGCAAAGGTGGGAGCAAACTGGCAAAGAACAAAGGCAGTAATTAAATTTGAAGCGTAAAGGATGGGAAAAGCTCAAGGTAGAACGCTTAGAGAAGTACATGAGCAAGTAGTTGCAGCAGAGGGATTGCACTCATGGGACTGACAGGGTGGAAGCAAAGCCAGAGGAGATCTTTCAGAGGACCTGGGTCTCCCATCATTTTACAGAAAGGGAAACTGAGGCCTGAGAGGCGAAACAGCTCTCAGTGTTTAGCTTCTCAGGGTGGCATGGCCAGGACACAGCAGTGGATTCAGCATCGTAAAACTGAAATCCGGAAAGGGAATGGATGGGGAAAGGCAGTAAGTTCCAACTTTCCCATGGGTGGAATTGCTGGATCATATGGTAGTTCTATTTTTAATTTGGGGGGGAACCGCCATACTGTTTTCCATAGTGGCTGCACCAAATTACAATCCCACCAATAGCACACAAGGGCTCCCTTTTCTCCATGTTCACACTAGCATTTTTTATCTCTTGTCTCTTTGATGATATAATGCCATTAATCTTAATTCCACTCAGTAGTGAAAAAGAATGAAGAGCAATTTCCAGGTTATTGGGTTAGACATTTGAGAAGATATAAGTATTGCTAGACCCCATGTTACAATTTCAAAGAACACTGAAAGTACATGATTCTGAGTGTGGGAATGCTCAAGGTACCAGAGAAGCCCATGGCTCATTCTCAGTGCATTTCGCTCTGAATTCAGTCTCCTTTATTTAATTTTCTTGATTCACATTTCTACAAGACAATGTTGAATCTGCATAATGGGTTCTTTACAAAATGTCAATTTGGAGTGGCTTGATCTTTTACTAAATTTCATATATATTTTACGTTATCAAAAATAGAAACTCATTCTAACACTTGGATCTTGGTGTGGGGTTTTTGCTAATCCTCACTCGAGGATATTTTTTCCATTGATTTTTAAAAATATATTTTTTTATTGATTTCAGAGAAGAAGGGAGAGGGAGAGAGAGATAGAAACATCAATGATGAGAGAGAAGCATTGATCGGCTGCCTCCTGCATGCCTCCTACTGGGGATCGAGTCCACAAACTAGGCATGTGCCCTTGACCGGAATTGAACCCAGGACCCTTTAGTTTGCAGGCCGATGCTCTATCCACTGAGCCAAACCGGCTAGGGCTCCATTGATTTTTAGAGATAGCGGAAAGGAGGGTGGGAGAAGAGAGAGAGAGAGAGAGAGAGAGAGAGAGAGAGAGAAACATCAATGTGAGACACATCAATTGGTTGCCTCCTGCATGCGCCCTGACCAGAGCTGGGAATTGAACCTGCAACCCAGGTACATACCCTTCACTGGGAATTGAACTTAAGACTCTTCGGTGTACAGGCAGATATTCTAACCACTTAGCAACACAACCCAGGGCTGGATCTTGGTTTTTAAAGTTTATATCATAATCTCACAGGCACTAGTTTATGTGCTTTTGTGAGCATTAGCTCCTTTAACCTTCAGGAGAACCCTAAAAGATAAACAACTTAAGGAGATGTAACTGAGGCAAAGAGAGATTAATTAAATTGCCCAATATCATACAGCAAAAAATGGAGAAGACAGCATTTGACCTTCAGTGACATGGCTATATTATCTTCCTATTATTGTCTCAGATACTTAAACATTTATTTGTTGAACAAACTTTGAACAGATTTTGGAAAATGAATGACAATGTCAGACCACTGCTATGATACATTTTGCATCCTATTCATTAACTATCTAATAATTGGGATCAATTTGTAATAATAAAAGGGTAATATGCAAATTGACTGAACAACAGAATGACCAGTCACCATGATGTGCACTGACCACCAGGGGGCAGACACTCAACCAGAAGCCGGGCTGACGGCTGGTGAGCGCAGCGGTGGTGGCGGGAGCCTCTCCTGCCTCTGTGGCAGCGCTAAGGATGTTTGACTGCTGGCGTAGGCCCGCTCCCTAAGTAAGGCATCCCTTAAGGGCTCCCTGACTGCAAGAGGGCGCAGGCCAGGCTGAGGGGGCCCCCCCCCCCAGTGCACGAATGTCATGCACTGAGCCTCTAGTTTATAATAAAACTTCTGTTATTTCAATTACTAAATTCTCATGACTGACATTTAAGATTAGCTAATGCCCTTATTCTGAAGAGGCCTTTCAGAGAATCTAGATGATTTATTTTTTCTAGTCCTCAAAAAAAAAAAAAGTCATTTAAGATTGAAACTGTGCACATGTGCATTTGCACACACACATGCACATACATACCACACTGAAATAGACCTTATAGCATCCTTAACAGTAAATAACACAAATACTAACACACAATTAGAGATAAATTGTAGTCCATTTCATAGAAAATAGAATTTCTCAAAGTTTAAAAGAATTTTTTAAAAACCCACCTCAATGTATTTTAAAGCCTGCTAAGGGTATTTAGTAAAAGTGGTAATAGATACAACCAAAGCAAAACAATGCAAACTTTCCAAACTATCTGTAATTCAATTACTTCCTACTTTCAGATTAAGGTCTGACTTTTTAAAACCACCTTTATTGGATAATTCCTGAACAGACAAACCAAACCAAACAATACAGAAAAATACTGCTGAAATCATTGAATCAACATCAACACAATAATAATATCAGATATATTAATAGCTGGCAGGAGCTCCTTAAATGTGTAATACAGAACAGTCGATAAATAACATCTGGACTTGAGTCAAAGGGACAGGTGGCTCATGATTGATTTTCTTCCAGGTACCATGAAAATAAAATGATTTATTCAATATATTTAACCTTCGGGCAGTTTTCATTATAGATGTTTTTTACAAACTTAGATAAAAATTGTCTAAGTTTGTAGAAATATACCAAATGGTTATGTATAATCATCCTTTGCAATCAAAAGTCCTTTCACAAATTAGAGAAATAACAGTTAGAGAAACTCCTGTTTCCATTATAAAGCTCAAGTCAATTAGTATTTGTCAGTAAACTCTGAACACAAGAAAAATACAAAAGAAGACACCTTACAACCCAAGCTGCAATTGAACAAGCGATTCAGTTTAATCCCATGCCCATCTTCCAGGTATCATGGAAAGCACTGTACCAGGCAAGAGAGAATTCACAGACATTGCCCTTCAGAATTATAATTACTGGGAGAGACAGGCATGCAAACATGGACTTATAATACACAAGAGCCTGAAATACATGCACAGGGAGCAAAGGGCCTTGGAAACGATGAGGAAGGTAAATTCATTCTAACTGCATGGGAGGGGACGAGAAGAAGCAGAAATGTTAAAAAGGCTACTTAGATGTGTCTGACCTAAGCCTGGCAGGACAAGTAGACCGTTAAGAGGCACGAAAGAGATGGGTGAGGGCATTCCTGGTCGCCAGGCTGGCGGACAACACACTAAGGGCACAGAGGCAGGGAAGTGCCGGGAAGGCAGGAGCCAACATGGGACACAGTCTGTGCAGAGGAACAGAGGGGAAATTCAGAAGGCCTGGTGTTGTTAGCATTATACTCCACTATTGTTATTTTTTAAATTAATAGCGAAAGCCAAAAATGAGAAAAGGTATCATTTCCTACAATATACTTCCAAACTTTAACATCTGTGTGATTTCTCTCTTTGTAAATAAATAATGGAAAGTAGAACAGCATGCATTACGTTTTTGAAGTATTCTGTGCAAAAATCAATGTGCACGGCACACATGTTTGGTTTGATGAGGTAAACAATATTTTAAGCAGCACATTTTGGTGCGCAACAGAAATGCAAATTATCTTCAAACAATATTGGCATAGTGTAAACAGAAATCAGGTTAAAGGCTAGTCCCAAATTTCCGTGCCGCTCCTCACCAGGTTCAAAATGATACATGTGTACAATACACTGTCTCACATCAATCCCATGAGGCATGTTCCCCTCCCCCGGGACGCCTCAGCACTTAGAAATAATCTGGGATGTGGTTTACTGTCTGCACTTTGTGAGAGCCGCGGAGAGATGTGCACCGTTAGGCTCTTCTTTCTCCATAGTTTCCAGCACAAATACCTTGAACTCTTCAAAAGCTCAATTTACGGGGTGATGCTACCAAAGCACACCTCACAAACAAGATGCCTTCACCACTTCCAAAGGTTGGCAGGGGTCAGCGTGACATTTCATGGTAACTGGAGCCACCAGCTGACTCGAACATATCATGCGGGGCCTCCAGAAGTGCTGATGAAAAATGGGAACAGGAGACAGCTGTTTTCACTTCGGACATTGTCCCCACTGCCACATGAGAGGGCTTTAAGTAACGCAAGCTTCTCTCGGGCCTCTGCCTGGATGTCGTCACCACCTGGCACTGACACTCCCATCGGCCAGACGGGTCTGTCCTCACTGGAGCTGCAGAGAACGTCTGGCCCACTGAGGAGGAGAGTCCGGTCAGAACGTAAGGGGCTGTGCCACTCCTGCTGTACTATGATTGTGTTGCTGTTTTTCGTGGCCCCTGAAAAGAGACAGCACGAAGGTGGGCCTTGACCAGAGCCTCCCTCAAGACCGTGGGGATATCCTGCACGAACCGCATGAATCACACAGCTACACCAAGCCTGCTCCCAAATGCTTTCCTGGGTCTGATCATGTGACAAACGCAGAGATCACTCAGATGGTGGGTGCGCGGCATGAGGACTTACCTTGGCGGATGAAAGTTTGGCTGGTGTCCAGCAAAATATCACAGCCCTCCACGATCATTCTTTCTATGGCAAGGTTCTTCCTTATGTTTTCAGTGTCACTCACTTCATCGTGCATTATCCTGTCGGCCAGGACACAGAAAGGTCACTGTCAGAGATCTTTGTATTGCCCTGGCCGGTGAACAAAGAGCCCCACCTGGGAACTTGTATCAGTGTAAGTGGGGCTGTGAGGGAAGCAGACTGGACGTCGGACCTCAACAGGCCATGACCCAAAGCAAGGCCAATGTACACCATGACTCTACAGATCAGCGGGTCAGTGATCGTGAGTTCCCTGGGAATGCCGCTGGTAAATGCAACAGGAAAGCAACATGTTATTTTCTGAAAAGCTTTTAGTGAAGATTGAAATCAGAGTGCCATTTCTTAGAGGCAGAGTAAATGAGAGGCTTTATACCATTTATCCCAGATAAGCTAAAGGAACACAGATATAAACAATTGTCTGAAACATTGAAAAGCTACTGATAAATCCAAGATATGCATGCTCCAGCTTCCTGGCAAATATGAATACAAAAATGCAACAAAAAGTCATTTTTCTTTTATGCTGAAAGGTGAACATTCTCCACCTTAAACCAAAGTACACCTGCTCTCAAGAGCTATCATTAAACTTTCAGTGAATCTGAGAAGCTGGATTGTGTCTTGCCTCTTGTTCCCTAGGCATACAATTAGGTTTCCACAAAACACTGACTTGCTGCTTTCCCATAACAGGCTGCTATTGTAAGTTCTCTGCGTACCTGGACAGGTCCTCTAGTTTTGATTTTGCAAATTCCAGACTCTTCCTCTCCACATGCTCATGGGGTGTATGAGCGAGCAGTTCATGAATGGTGATGATATACCTGGGGATCTAAATGCAAACACAGGCCAGTGTGAGCATGAGGCGAGGATCAGTAACCGGGACATTCTCTTCTGTGCCTCATCACTTCCAAGAAGCTCGTCTCATCTCTTATGGTTGTAATTGTTTTTCAAACATTTTTTTAAGAAATACATGAGTGTGGGAGTGGGGGCAAAGGGGAGAGAATGATACATATGTAATACCTTAATCAATAAAGAAGAAAAAAGAAATATATTTTAAAACGTTTAAAATAAACTACATTTCAAACATCACACACACACACACACATACTAGTACACACATGTGCAAATTCCCCAGGAACACATGAAAAGAGTAATATTGTTACAAAGAAATAATTGTTTCTTTTGATTTTTTAATATAATCATATATTTCTTAATCATAATTTTTGAAAATTGGTTCATAGGGAAATAGATATAGTTATCATCAAGTCACTAGAGTCTGTATGTTATATATATTTGTCTGTTTATAATTTTTTTTTTAAAAAAATTGACAATCCTGACCAGAACTTCGCTGGAGATCCTGACCAGAACTTGGCTGGAGATCCTGGCTAGAGATCCTGGCTAGGCTGCTGATCAACTGAACGCTGTCTCCGTGTCATTCCTTCTTCGCCGACTCCGTCCACACCTTTGGGATCCCTGGACCTGCTGGGGTTGGACCCCAGCACATTGGTACCCCAATCAATATTTAATAACATGCTATTCAGCTTCCAAGTGTTTGAGTATTTTGGGTTTTTTTTTTTTTTTAAAGGAAGGCAGACTGCCACGTGCAGCGCCTCATTTGGATGTGTCTGGAGTCTTGGGAGTTTGACTACCCTACGTTCTCCTACAAATGGACCTTGAGAGCTTGTTTGGAGGTTCTAGCAGGGGAGCGCAGCTACTCGTATACCCTTGACCGAAGACCGGTCCTCTCCTAGGGGGGGAAGGGCGTCCTCTTCGACCGAGCTCGCAGCTTCGGGAGGGACGCACATGGATCGGTGAGGGAGGAGGGGGACACCCGCCTAGCCAGCCAGATCAGCCTAATCAACCCTGGCGATCAATGGGGTGACAGATGTCGCAGCCAGATCGCCCTCACATCCTTGGGTTTTTTTTATTGTAGTTTATTTCTAATATTATGCCATTGTGGTCTGAGAAGATGCTTGGTATGATTTCAAACTTCTTGAATTTGGGTAGACTTTGTTTGTGACCCAATATGTGGTCTATTTTTGAATATGTCCCATGAGCACTTGAGAAGAATGTATATTTTGTGGCCTTGGGGTGAAATGTTCTGAAGATGTCAATTAAGTCCATCTGATCTAGTCAATTAGGATTGCTGTTTCTTTGCCAATTTTTTGTCTAGAGGATTTATCCAGTGATGTCAGTGGTGTATTAAAGTCCCCTACTATGAAAAAAAAAATTGACAATCCTACTGTAACATTCTCTTTAAGAATTGAAACTTGGGCCTTGGCCAGTGTGGCTCAGTTGGTTGGGGATTGTCCCATGCACCAAAAGGTTGCCGGTTTGATTCCTGGTCAGGGCACATGCCCGGGTTACAGGCTCTATCCCAGGTAGAGGGAGTGCAGGAGGCAGCCAATCGATGTTCAGCTCTCACACATCAATGTCCCCTTCTCTCTTTACTTCCCTCTCTCCCCCCTTCCTCTCTCTCTAAAAATCAATATTTATTAAAAAAGAATTAAAATTTGGGAGAAGATATGTTCACCCTTGTTATATTCTGATCCTCCTTCTAGCAGTAAAAAGTATTGTTTAATGAGGTTACTTATTTGTACTTTTGTTTATAAACAGACTACCCACATTCTGCCAAAGGCAGAAGAAACTCCACCAACCCTCTGAAGGTTTTAATAGACTATAGCAGAGATTTAACTCAAATTTCAGTGATTCAACATATTTAAATTTTACTGGCTTAGAAACTAAAATTTGTTAGAAATCAGGGGCAGTGGGTTTAATCTTAATAACATACATGAACAATAGCTACCATAACACTGATCACTGTGGGTCAGATCAGGTGCTCGAGGTTTACATGTGCGTATAATCCTCCAACAACATAAGATTCCTTCCCATTTTACACATAAGGAAACTAAGTGTAGAAGGGTCAGTAATTTGCCCAATGTGGCCTCACAGTAAATGGCAGAGCCAGCCATGAGCCCAGCTCTGACCAGTGCACTCGCCCAGTAAGTCTGCTCCAGGACTGGGGTCTCACTCAACCCCTGAAAGCGCCTCTGAGAATGAAGAAAGTGAAAGTTTCCCAGGGCTCCGTGGGTAGCTGCTTGCATTCTGACCTGACATGGTGTTGGTGAGTCTGTCCACAGCTCTGCTTTTGCTCTCTTGGCAGCAGTGGCCTTCACTGGGTAATTTACTAATATGTACTGGATGCCCACATTTATGTGTGAAGCACAGAGGGCAGCACCATCAACACAGACATCAATCTGCAGCTCCTACTCGGGAGCACATCCTAGGGAATGTCATCAAGTCAAGGTTTCGGCAATGCTACCGACTCCCTAGTCACAGGAGGTGGGGAACAGCAGACCCTTCCCTCTGAAGGCTTGCTGCCTCCCACCCCATAGACCTCTCACCGAGACAGCCTATAGGGCTGTGACCCTGGTGAAGATCCTGGGATAAGTATACTTTCAAATACCCCTTTCGCTTAATCCCATGATTGATCAAAGTTTTCCTCTAAGTTAGTAGTCCACAAGAAAATCAAGGCAATCACCAGCTAAGGTACTCAGTTTTTCATAACAAAGAGGGCAGGAGTGGGAGAGCCTGGCTACTTATAGTACATGAAACCCCACAAAACTGAGTTTAGTCAATACCTCCATGATCCTCCCCCATTAATTCAATCTATTTTAGAGAGCTCCCTGGCTAAGGTTCAAGAGAATAGATTTGAAATTTAGTAACTGGCCTTTTCCACGAGAAAGTGAAGGAACAAACATGCCTGAAACTGCCAAGAAGTGAGCAAAGAACATTCTACAGAGAAGTAGACGGCTCCCCAAAGAGCTTATCTGTATAGTCAAGTGCTGATTATAAATCTGTTCCCCCCAAAACCTAAGAATCACAGAAAGTACTGTCTAGGTCGGTGGTTTTCAACCTTTTTCATCTCATAGCACACATAAACTAATTACTAAAATTCTGTGACACACCAAAAAAATTATTATATTTTTTGCCGATCTGACAAAAAATATATAGATATAAATTTTGATTCATTCACACCGGATAGCTATTGTTGTGTTAGCTGTTGTCATTTTTTAAATTTGACAATCTAAGGGAAAAGAGGTCAAGTGCTCCTGACTAAATTAGTCAGGTACTGCACCTTTTAAAAATTCTTGAGGCACACCAGTTGAAATCACTGATCCAGATGAATCATCATTCCACTTTCAATTATGGAACAATACTTGTCACTTTATAGACATTCATTAGTTTGTTCTCCAATAACCATAAACGGGTGGCTACTTTCTGGTGCACATCTAACGGTGCTGGTCTCATCATGATGAATTCATGATCAGCTTACCTATGGATTTATGAGCAGCTGAGGCCAATTTAAACAGTTCCAGACAAGCCACCTTCTTTGCAAAATAAAAATTATGTTAATCACTACATTGTCTTTCATAACAAATTTCTTGGCAACATTTGGATTTGCTTATCTGGTAGTTCAATTGAGGATATATTCACTGTATCATCCAAATTCTACAATTCCTCCATGTTTCCATAATTCAACATAGTTCATTAACAGCAGCAATTGACTTACTGGACAAGGGGCCCAGAAAGAGGGAGAATATAATACTTTTCTACACATACACAGGCTAAAAGTTGCCAATCACCTCCCCCCTTTCTCTGCTCCACACCAACCTCTGTCCCCATATACATGCTCGAAAAAAAAAATCTGGAGGTATGAACTAGGCTCATCCCTTCCATTGTTGCTATACAGCAAAAACTGAAATGTGCCACCCTCATCCCAAGGTGTCCAGCCTACACCAGAGCAAGGCAGAAGCACCACTGCTAATACAATGTATGCAGAGGGACATAGATGTGCCTCAACCATCTGAGAGAGCAAGTGCCTCATGACTATTCCACCTCATTATGAAAGGACCAAAAGAGAACAGGAAGAGTAGAATGGACATGGACCTAGCAATAAAAACCTCTAAACTTCCAGAAAGAGCAACCCACCCCCGAGTGTTCCATGTATTACTTCAGAGAGACAGTAGGAGGGAGAGACACCAAATGAACAAGACCGAGGAGAGACATCAATGAGGATGAGGCCCTTGGGCAGCAAATTCTGATGATTTTCCCTCTTGGTCTATTCAAAATAGTTCTAAGGAAGCAAAATAGTTATGAGGAAGCAAATAAATAAAGAGCACAATTCTGTGCTCTTTCAATTTGCCCATTTCTTGCAGTTGGACCAGTTCTGGCCAAATTCTTTAAATCTGAGGTTTCTCCCAGAGCAAGCAATGGCTCTCATCAGCTGAGGCTCTTGGTTACCCTGGTCTGGACGAAGCCAGAGAATCTCAACATCTGACCCTTCAGTCAAATTCTAGGGTTTGGGGCCACCAGCCTTGGCAGAGGCAGAGAGGGTTAGGGCCTAGACCCGTGGTCGGCAAACGGCGGCTCTCGAGCCACATGAGGCTCTTTGGCCCCTTGAGTGTGGCTCTTCCTAAGCCTTAGGAGGGAGTACCCTAATTAAGTTAATAACAATGTACCTACCTATATAGTTTAAATTTAAAAAATTTGGCTCTCAAAAGAAATTTCAATCATGGTACTGGTGATATTTGGCTCTGTTGACTAATGAGTTTGCCAACCACTGGTAAACTAACACCACCATGTAGTTACCCAACCAAACTTTCAGACCCAGTCTAATGTGAATAGTATCACAGAGTCAGAGAGCTAGTGCCCGGGAGATAACCACAGCTCAGCTGCCTCAATTTTGAGATCTAGAAATGGAGGTTTAGATTGGTTCCATTATTTTCCCCAAAGCTATGACTAAAGGGTGAGCAAGACATCCCGGTCTCCCAAAGATTCCCAGTCCAATGGTCCTTGTCTGTATTATGGGAAGTCCTTGGGGTCAATCAAAATGCCCAGTCATTGTTATTGGGCTTAAGCTCCATGGGGAGGGAGGGGGAGGAGGTGGAAGAGTATCACAGCATTTTTAAGAAATCCACAGGCCTTTCCAAGGCCCTACATTCAACTTTTGGACATGCCACCTAAAGTGCAAGTGCAGTCTGCCATTTTAAAACATTGAGGGAGCTTCACCAGGGGGAGTTAAGTAGCAATTGGAAAGACATCGGTGGGGAAGGAGCTGGGAACCTCTCTGAATGTTCCATGTGTCTTTCACACTCTACCTTTGTATATTCACCTGAGTTGGGATTGCTGAACAGAATCAACTTAGGGTATTTTATTTATTTATTTATTTTAAACTTTTTTTTTTCAAACACATTTTATTGATTTTTTACAGAGAGGAAGGGAGAGAGATAGAGAGCTAGAAACATCGATCAGCTGCCTCCTGCACACTCCCTACTGGGGATGTGCCCGAAACCAAGGTACATGCCCCTGACCGGAATCGAACCTGGGACTTTTCAGTCCACAGGCCGACGCTCTATCCACTGAGCCAAACCGGTTTCGGCAACTTAGGGTATTTTAATCATAACCTAGAGGCAACTGCCAAAAATTCAAATAGAATCTCAGAAGAACATTGCATTATGCAAACTTTGTTTCACTGTAAATAAATCTTAAATTACAATTTTGTATAAGGTTACCAGAAAAGAAATCTTTTTTTCTTTGAAGTTTTCCTTGTGAAATATTTCCTCAGAGAGGCAAAGAGTTCAAACAATTCAGTTCCATGAAAAAACATAATAACATTACGAAGTTCCACTATACTTAAGTTATTTCAAATGCATCCTTTTTGTTTTTATAGAGATTTTATAAACTTCTATAGTAATTTCCAGGATTTCAAGCAGGTTTGACAAACTGTAAGACAAACCATTACAAACCAGGCCAACATTTCTTTCTGAGGCTAGAAAATGATCCACTGGGGTCAGCGTTGAGGGGGACAAAGCTCCCCACAGAAACCCTAACACACATGATTCGGGGATTCGGTTTACCACATGACAATTTAGAGGGCTGGCCAGAAGCCCCATAAATTCCACATCGGAACACTCGATGCCTTTCCAAAAGAACAGCATCAACACTTTTCAAGAGAACAGGCAATTCAGTTCACATTTTGGCTTCTGCAATTCTCACTCAAGGGCTCTTAATGGTAAAGCCCAAGATATAGGAAAGAACACAAGTGTACTTGATCCCTTGGGTTGCTCTACTCCCACAAAGTGAATGTCATGACAAGCCCCAGCCTCCTGCAGCAGCCCGAGAGGGGCCAAGAGTCCCCGGTCCAGCTAATGCCTCTGTCACCTTTCAGTTCACATTTTGGCTTCTGCAATTCTCACTCAAGGGCTCTTAATGGTAAAGCCCAAGATATAGGAAAGAACACAAGTGTACTTGATCCCTTGGGTTGCTCTACTCCCACAAAGTGAATGTCATGACAAGCCCCAGCCTCCTGCAGCAGCCCGAGAGGGGCCAAGAGTCCCCGGTCCAGCTAATGCCTCTGGCTCCTAAGTCTCCACAGCCTCTGTCACCCGGGAGGTCCTCCTTTTGCTCTCCAGAGCTCCAGCCAAGGGGGACTCAACAGCAATCCCAGCAGGGTGGGGAGGATGGCCAGGAACACAAGACTTTCCCACTAGTCCACTCAACTTCTCAGGAACCTTTTATGCAACCAGCATACCCTGGAACATTTGCACAGCATCCTATTTCTGTAACCCTAATAATATTTTTAAACATGCTGGAGGAGGAGACTTCATGGAAGAGGTCTGCGTGGAATCTTTCTATAAAGAGAACATTGTGCTGCTTTTCAAAAAAAATCATTTTTTATGTAATTGTCTCAAAAATGCCTGGCTTTCTTATTTATATTAGGCAGAGAGAATGTGAGGCATAAATTTGATTATCTCAAGGTCAAGATCAAGATGAGAGGTGATGCATGTGTGTTATAATTCTTCACAGGGGATCCTTGCACATCTCCCTCTGGTCATGAGGAACATTGAGCTGGAACTAGTGACTCATAAAATGCATCCCAGAGGACTCACCTGAAACATCGGATAGGTCAAGAACGTTTCTAGCATCCTCCCTTCACAGGCAGGGTTGGCTTCATACTGTTTCAAGAGTTTGTCAAAATCTCTGTTTTGCTTACAATTGGCAAGCACTTGGAGGCTGTACTGGTGGTTACGCACAAATTCTTGATAAATGTTCAGCATGGGGAGCAAGATATCAAACAGATCAGCTGAAAGAAGAAGTAAAATGGCAGTTTCTTTTGGTGCTCAGTAAATTATCTAAGGTAGTGGAGAGAGACTGTGTTCACTCAATGGGAGTGGCAGGGAGTGGCTCCTCCCAGTCCCAGGTGTCACACATACATGGGGACCAGTCCAGATGCCTGAATAACTGATCTGACAGAGTGCTCTCCAGGGCAGAGCCTGACTCTAGCCCAGAATGACCATGACAGGCCAGGGGAAAGGTAAATAGTAGGGCAGGGCCCAAAGGCCAATGAGATAAATTCCCAATAGCTAAAGCAGCTCACAGATCAGTGGGAAAATTCAACAGCTTCAGCTGAATAATGTTGAAATTATTTTACTCTAATTATAGCCAGAGTAAGAGAAACCAAAGCATGCACTTACCTAAAATTAAAGTAGGCCAGTTTGCTAACCTTGCCTTCAGTCCTTGATGAAATATTTCATGAAGAAACATGATTGTTTCACTATAAAAATGCAAAAAGAATATAATTTAGTCTTGAGTAGAGCCATTGCCACCCAATGTGGGAAAATCTCCCTCCTTCCTCACAACAGCAAAGCCTAGCTTTTAATCACATGTTATCAGACTTCTTCTCATTATACACATACACACACACACACACACACACACACACACACACAACTATGGCACATTCACATAATATAATACAATGTAGCAATTTTTTAAAAAATAGACTGGTCTTTAGATATCAATATGGAAAGATGTCCAGGATATATTGATACATGAAAGAAAAATCTATATAAAAAATACATTGCCTTTTGTGTAAGAAGAGGCAAAGTAAGACTCAAAATCCATATTTGATTTCATCTACATTAATAAACACTGGAAGTATATATAAGAAATTAATTTAAATGATTACATACAGAAAGTGGGGGAATGGGGTGGGCGAAGGCAGGGTAAAAATGAGATTTCTAACTGTTGCTTGATGTTTTCATGTTGTTTTGACTTGTGAACTTGTATTATCTACTCAAAAACAAATAACTAAAATTTTAAGTGAAACACCTAAGCACTTTCCTTCCCCCCTTATCTCCTTTGCTTCTTTTTTTTAAATACATTTTTTATTGATTTCAGAGAGGAAGGAAGAGGGAGGGAGAGAGAGAGATAGAAACATCCATGATGAGAGAGAATTATGGATTGGCTGCCTCCTGCAAGTCCCCCACTGGGGTTCGAGCCCACAACCCGGGCATGTGCCCTTGACCAGAATTGAACCTGGGACCTTTCAGTTCGCAGGCTGACGCTCTATCCACTGAGCCAAACCGGCTAGGGCTCTCCTTTGCTTCTTCATTTTTCTACAGAACTCATCACCACATGATAGACTACATAGTTCACTTAATCACTATTCATTATCTGTCTTCCTTCATCAAAACTTAAGTTCCATGAAGGCAGGGATTTTTTTTTTTTTTTTTGCTTTGTTCACTGAGGAATCCTCAGCAGTAAAGATACTATAAATATTTATTGAGTGAATAGATTTACTAGAAAGTCTCAGGCCCTCTGTTAGTTTTTGCTCTTCCTAGAGTACTTTTGTATAAATCATATGTAAAGACCCATTAATCACTCCATTTCCTTCGTTTTGTGAGGAAGATGATCTTCCCCAACATACACATATCCCCACACAATGATAAGAAAACATATGTCAAATAGAGGAGAAAAACAGAAAACTACATACCAAGATTCAAGATAAAGATATACAAATTGGACTAGTAATGAAACACAAATAATAGCTTTCTTATTTTCAATATCATAAACTCATAAAAGTGAATTTATGAAACCTATTTTTTTACGAGTAGAGTAAAAATTCTAAGAAATACAAATGGGTTTTTCACATGACTGATTTATGCCAAGACAAACCTGTTGAGGAAAATACTACTGACGTCGTCGTGGCTGATGGGGGGCTTCTTGGAGCTGGCGGCCATTCGTAGGGGCCGGAGGAAGCAGTTGACCAGGATGTAGAGCTGGTGAACGTACTCTGACTCAGCCTCGACCATAGTGAACACAATCTGGTTTCTCTTCCTCATACTTTCAGCATGAGGAGAACAGATGTAATCCTGCACGATGGTCTTCCATTTCCTTCTACACAACCATCCTCGCATGAAGCTCTGAACCTATAGAGCAAAAAGGAAAAAGGAAGGGAAGGGAAGGGAAGGGAAGGCAAGGGAAGGGAAGGAGAGAAGAGAAGAGAAGAGAAGAGAAGAGAAGAGAAGAGAAGAGAAGAGAAGAGAAGAGAAGAGAAGAGAAGAGAAGAGAAGAGAAGAGAAGAGAAGAGAAGAGAAGAGAAGAGAAGAGAAGAGAAGAGAAGAGAAGAGAAGAGAAGAGAAGAGAAGAGAAGAGAAGAGAAGAGAAGAGAAGAGAAGAGAAGAGAAGAGAAGAGAAGACAAGACAAGACAAGACAAGACAAGACAAGACAAGACCTCAGGGATCTGTGAGACAGGCTTTTTAAGTCTGTCAGTAAAAGGTGTCCATCCTGTGCCATATGAAACATTGCTCTTTCATTGGTGCACTAATGGTCCCACCCCTAGAATATGTACTGGCAGGCTTTTTTTCAGATAACAGAATATAAATGATTTTTAAAATAATAATTTTATCAGGTTTACAAATTTCTTCCATAAGCTTAAGGTGTTTAGGCCTGCCTAAATGGACACCAGAATCCTCCTATATAATAAAAGCCTAATATGCTAAGTGTCTGTTTGGCCAGTCAGCCATTCAACCAATCAAAGCATAATATGCTAATGATATGCTAAGGCTGCTCAGCTGCTCACTATGATGTGCATTGACTACCCATGGGGCAGACAGTCAACCAGTTGACCAGTTGCTATGACGTGCACTGACCACCAGGGGGCAGACGCTCTGACTGGTAGGTTAGCTTGCTGCTGGGGTCCAGCCGATCAAGACTGAGTGAGATGGGCCAGACATGCCCTGAAGCCCTCCCACAGTCCCTCCCCAGCTGGCCAACCTCCCGTGTCCCTCCCCGGCCCCAGTTGTGCACCGGTGGGGTCCCTCAGCTTGGCCTGTGCCCTCTCACAATCCAGGACCCCTCAGGGGATGTCGGAGAGCCAGTTTTGGCCCGATCCCACAGGCCAGGCTGAGGGACCCCACTGGTGCACGAATTCATGCACCAGGCCTCTAGTATAATAATATTACATGGTTAGTTATTAACATTTCAAGAACGAATGTTTATTCTTTAGCAATCAGATATTTTAAAAAATATTTTAAATTGTAGTAAAAAAATGCATAACATAAAATTTACCATCTTAGCCATTTTTAAGTGTGTAGTTCAGTAGTGTTCATGTGGAAAATAATACAGTAATTATTAAATAATATAAGAACACACTCTGTATTTCGTGTACTCACAACTATAAACCTAATTTTGCTACATCCTGTATTCACATTGTAGCACAACAGATCTCTGAGACTTTTTCATCTTGCAAAACAAACTTTATACTCATTAAACAACTTGCCTTTTGAGTCTTCCCTTAGGTCCTGATAACCACCATTCTTCCTGTTTCTGTGAATTTGGCTACTTTAGATACCTCATATAAGTGGAGTCATATAGTTATCTGTATTTTTGTGTCTGGCTTATTTCATTAAGTATAATGCCCTCAAGGTTCATTCATGTTGTAATATGTGCCAGGATTTCTTTCCTTTTTAAAGCCGAATAATATTCCATTATACATATGTATCACTTTTTTTTATCCATTCAGTGGATATTGGGTTGCTTCCACCTTTTGGCTACTGTAAATAATGTTGCAATGAACATAGGAGTGCCTATATCTTTTCAAGATCCTACTTTTAATTATTTTGGATATAATCCAGAGGTAGAATTGCTGGATCATATGGTAGTTCTATTTTTAATTTTTTGAGGAACCACCATACTGTTTCCCATAGCAGTTGAATCAATTTACAATGCTATCAGTAGTGCACAAGAGTTTCAATTTCTCCACATCTTCATCAATAGTTATTATTTTGTTTTCATGAGAGTAGCTATACTAATAGGTATGCAGTGATATCAAACTGTGGGTTTTTTTGTTTTGTTTTTTAAATATATTTTATTGATTTTTTACAGAGAGGAAGGGAGAGGGATAGAGAGTTAGAAACATCAATGAGAGAGAAACATCAATCAGCTGCCTCCTGCACACTCCCTACTGGGGATGTACCCGCAACCAAGGTACATGCCCTTGACTGGAATCGAACCTGGGACCCTTGAGTCCGCAGGCTGACGCTCTATCCACTGAGCCAAACCGGCAAGGGCAAACTGTGGTTTTAATTTGTATTTATCTGATGCTTAGTCATGTAGAGCATCTTTTTATGTTTATACGATGTCTCCAAAGATTATATACAAACTAGAGGCCCAGTGAAAAAAATTCGTACACAGGGGCAGAGGAGTCCCTCAGCCTGGCCTGCACCCTCTTGCAATCTGATACTGCTGGCTCCTAACTGCTCACCTGCCTGCCTGCCTGATCACCCCTAACCGCCTCTGCCTGCCTTCCTGATCACCCCTAACAACTTCTATCTAAGCCCCCACTGCGGCAGCTTCATCCGGAAGGACATCCAGAATGATGTCCGGAAGGTCGTTCAGCTGTCCGGTCTAATTAGTATATTATGCTTTTATTATTATAGACTAGAGGCCCGGTGCACAGATTC